CGGATTTTGGAAGAACCACTGCATGTGTTCCAAGGACATAGTGGGGAGATATTGGATGTTTCATGGTCAAAGAATAACGTATGTTAGTTACATTCTACTTGATTGAAGTTTTCTGTAAACATTATGCATCTAATCAAGTTTTGTTTTTGTGATTTATATATTCCTTGCAGTATTTGCTTTCATCATCAACTGACAAAACTGTTCGTCTGTGGCAAGTTGGATGTGATAAATGCCTCAAAGTTTTTTCACATAGTAATTATGGTATGCACCAAGCCTTTAGCGAGATCATTCTATATTTTTCCAATTCAACAGTTTTAAGTTTCTGATGTTTTAGTTCCAAATTCCATTACTCTCTATTTTCTTTCTTTTTTGTTTCAGTGACTTCCATACAATTTAATCCAGTAAATGATGACTACTTCATCAGTGGTTCATTAGATGGAAAAGTTCGCATTTGGGCGATTAATAGCTGTCAAGTTGTGGATTGGAAAGATATAAGAGACATTGTGACTGCTGTATCGTACCGTCCTGATGGGAAGGTATGCTAATAATATGCATTGTCTTTCCTGTTACTAACTTCAATTATAGATTCCTAAATTCAAGCAGTTCATCAAAAACATTATCTACTTCCCATGTAGGGTGGGATTATTGGCTCTATGGCAGGGGCGTGTTGCTTCTTTAGTTTAATAGGTAATTTTTTGCCTCTTTTCTTTGGTATAGATCCAAAATTGGTATTGATCACCTGCAGTTAGGATTTATAGTTTACTCGAGAACTATTACAAGTTGTTGCTTTTGTTTCAATTGATTGACCATCTAAATGTTATTTCTACTTGAAATCATTATTCTTTGATTAGTATTATTAACGAATCCCCAGTTATCCTCTCCCTTTTTCTTTTGTAATGGGTGTTTGGAGTGGACTGAGTGGCTATTTTTGCATTTTTCATTTCTCTGTCTTTTGATTTTTTGGTCATTCCGGCTGTTGCTCAGTTTTCTTTCTTTCTCCAGGATTTGTGGTAGTAGAATTATCAGATTGTAATATCAGTTTGTATGAGCATCATATAAATTAGCATCTGAGAGTGCAAATATAGTTTACAGTGACCGAGAATTGTGGTCCATGTTTTTGTGGCTAATGTGTGGATAGTCTGTTATACAGAGTTTACATCAAAGTTGAAATGTTTTTTAATGTTTTTGGACCGTCACAGATCACAAGATCCAACTGGAGGAGCAGATGTCATTGGGCAGTAAGAAGAAGTCACTTTGCAAAAGAATTACTGGTTTTCAGGTTAGTATACATCACGCAGATACCATTGGCCATACTGCATTACATTTTCTGGTTAGCAATGTAATAAGATGCTGATAAATCATTACTTCTATGCAGTTCCTACCAGAAGACCCAACTAAAGTAATTGTTACTTGTGCTGACTCCCAAGTAAGAATCCTTAGTGGGATCAATGTGATCGGCAAGTGCAGAGGTATGTTCCCTTCTTGAGTTTTAGATGATAACCTATTTGTATGCCTATTTTCCTATCATTTGAGTGGCTTCTCATTCTTTTCGTGTCAAAAAGGAATCCATATAGTTGATATTGAGATTGTCTGCAATTATGGGACTTGAGGTCAACCTAATTAATTTTTAGTTAAGTTTTGTTGGTCATATAATATCTCTATCGAGTGTTTATTTCTAACTTGTTTCTCCATTGTCCCTTCTTCTCTAACTTGCTTGCCACTTTACTTCTCTAGGCCTAAGAAATGCAGGAAGCCATCTCTCTGCTGCTTTCACCTCGGATGGGAAGCATATTATCTCTGCGTCTGAAGATTCTAATGTCTATCTATGGAACTTCCACATTCCAGAAGAGTCTTCTGTGTCCCAACCTGGAGCAGTGAGATCATTTGAGTTCTTCAATGGCGATGCGACCATTGCAATACCTTGGTCTGGTTTGAAAAATGTCAACCAGGAAAACCGGTGTCACTCACAAGGACTAAGTCAAAGCTTAACAAATTTCCCGTTCCCTTCTTCTCCTTGGTTCACTTTAGGACAAGAGTTGTTCTTAGAGGCAATTCCCAAGGGATCTGCAACCTGGCCTGAAGAGAAGCTCCCTGTGTCACATCCTCGGCCTGTGCCTTCTGCAATGTGTAAATCTCATTACAAGTTTCTGAAACGTTCTTGCCAGAGTTCATCCCGTTCTCATGCCTGGGGTTTAGTTATTGTTACTGCAGGCTATGATGGGCGAATAAGGTCATTTCATAATTATGGACTGCCTTCGCCAGTTTGAGAAGTATTGCTTTCAGGGTTTTCAAGAAAGTGGACGTTATCTCCTCTTTTGGCACCTCCTTTCTGGATCAGGGAAACTCTGTAATATCCTTTGTGATAGAACTACTACAGAGTTTACTGTTGCAACGAGAGCTCCATATGAGAAATCATGTTTGACTGGTCCCTTCAGGTCTTAGCAAGTCATATCAGAGTTTGCTTCTGGCCACTAGTTGGTAAATATCTCAGATTTGCCTTATCCCATTTTTGAGATAACAGCCTAATTTTAATTTACTAGAGCTCACGGGAAAGAAATGAATACACAAGGAGAGGTCAACATGGTATGCTTATCCATATGAGGTGCCTGTGGGACCTTTCATAATCTCTTTCCTTTGTTATTTAAGTGAGACCAGGGAAGGAGCTAGTGGCTGTAATTTTCTCAAGGAGAAATGGTGGGGAACTTCATCTTTTATGGCATGCTGGCTGTTCTGAATGATTGGATTGTTGTCTGCCATACGGTCGGTCAGTCCATTGAAGATAGGCTGGTTGTGAGGAAGGTGAGTGGGTCACTTCCTGCCGAATTGGAGTGTTGTAGCAACTAAACGTGCATGAGATCTCAGTGCTAATGTGAGTTGCTAATAAAGTTAGAATGCTTTGTGGCTGGTGCTCTGCTCTACCTCTGCTTGGAACAGCATGCCTTTTCTGGTCAAAGTGGGAGGTTCATTTTACAGAGGCTGCTGGTAACATGGTCTTTTTTTTGGATAAGAGAGGAATCCTCAAAGGCCAGTTGGTTTCGAAACTTGATGGATAGTAGGGGTCCGCTCCTCTACCTTGACCCTTCTTCACTTAGCCAGTTAGTGTATGGTTCAAAATTCAATGGATAATGAGTCCGTCCCTTTATCATTCTCCACTTAAATACTAGGCTTTTGTTTGCGACTGAGTTTGAATTTGTGATGTGCGCCTAAGCCACACATATGCTCTGCTCTCTTACCACTAGACCAAAGTCCTGGGGGGGCAATGTTGCTGGTAACATTGTTACACTAACATAGATGGCATTTTCAAATTTACAGCTCCAAAATTGTATTTAGTAGTGTCACAATGGTGATATAAAACAAAGAAGTGTGAGATATGTGACTTCATTGATTTATTCTGTACAGAAATCAGTAGTTATTAGTGTATATGCCTTGTATATGCATAGAGCTGAGTGCTCTCCTGCAAAATTGAAAAATAGCAGCTGAACCTTATTTTAAGGTTCAACAATTTTGGTTCCAAGTGTCATCAATGTAGTTTTTGCAACATGAGATAATTGTTATTCCTTGCTGTATTCTGCTGACTACGAGCCAATTTGCATGCATGTTGAAGCTACTACCCTATTATTAGTCAGCAAATCTGATAAAGTCATCCCTCGGGTTTCCTTTTGGGCTCAAATGATGGCCCAATCAAAAATCTAATTAATTGTCTACATTATTACTTAGCAGAAATTAGGATGGCGTGATTCCCAAAAAAGGGATGGTCTTGGCGGAATGTTCCCATATTTGTTGGTCTTAGCAAAATGTCTCCCTTCTTATTTGAACGCCATAGTTTTTAAATTTTTGAAACTTGAAATTCTTGTTTGATGGTAAAAAATAAAAGTTTATGATCGATTATTGTTAAAATTGTTTGAATGTTAATAATTTGTGCTTAAACATTTAGTTCAAACACAAATTTTGGTGATTTACTGTAAAAATCTCAAACTCAATTGTTGGACCTTTGAAAGTACTGAAGAAGACAAAATGGAGTTTTTGATTTTGTGTTATTTGACTGAATTGGTGATTGAGGATTGTTTGTGTTGGTATTTGAAAACTTTGTTTCAAATTTGAGATTATTTGGACCAGATTTGGGGTCGTTTGATCGAAATTGAAGTTGCATATTCAAAGAACACTTTGTTAAAACAACCCAAAAAAAGGTATGCCAATCAGGTAGACTTCGATGAACAACTTAACAGATAGTTAGACAAAAATATAGCATCAACTCTACCGACTAGAGAAATCCCTAAAGAGAAGAAGTATGACAATCCGGTAGACTTCAATCAACAACTTAATAGGTAGAGTAATAATAGCATCAACTCTATCGGGTTGGTAGAGAAATCCTAAAGAGCAATAGTATGATAATTCGGTAAACTTCGATGAACAATTTAATCCGGTAGAGAAACTCCTAAAGAGTTTGTGCGGGTCGGGGGTCATTTTTTAAATACCGTCAATTTTGGGGACATTCCACTAAAACCACCCTCAAAAAGTCCATTTTGTGTCAATCACCCCATTATTAGGCCTATCCAACTGGACTAAAGTGTGTCATTGCTCTCCATGAAACCAATTACGTGCATTCATTCTAAAGGGGTACCCAGTACCCTTGCATTTTCACTTCCTTGACTGGGTTCACTCATCCCCCCTCTCGATATCAAAAGGCGATTCAGGTAAAGACAACTTGCTAGTTTTCTCTGAATCATAATCAGCATAGAAGATGGATAAATTGATAAAATGAATGGAGTAATAACCACATATTTAGCACAATTTGTTACCTATTGCGTTTTGTTCTGGTTCATGAAGATGTTTGCTTAAGTAAATATACTTTGACGATAAGAAAGAAGTAAACAAACTTTAAAGTAAACCTATTAACCTACAAACACAGAAGCTGTAACGCCTGAATTAGTAGAGCAATAACACATTTAGCGTAGTTCGTTACCTATAGGGATTTTAATCTGGTTGATTAAGAAGTTTGCTTAAATAGAGTAATGAAAAATAATATTACTCTAGTATAACCCTACAACCACAAATTTATAATTGCCTCGAAACTTGACACGAACATGTTGCCATTTGCCAATGCTACTGAGGGCCAATTTTGCACTGCTAACATAAAGTACAACAACCTCTCACTGGCATTTGCTATTTTTCCTAGAGCAAGCAAGACTCTTGTTGAAGAATTGCGAGGTAAAGGAGCAGTAAAAGGTGTCTTTGTACGTGCTTAAATGTTTGACCTTGTAACAAAACTGACCAGGGGACAAACACCTCATACAACACTTGAATGGAAAAATCGTCTATAAGCAGAAAAGGAATATTACAGTTAATACCAGAATTACATTTCCGTTGGAGCCAAAGGATTAATATGATGAAGTTGGTGATGCCAGATCTGGGGGAAAAAAAAAGGTTGCATCATAAGCGTAGTAGAGATAGGGCTGCAAAATTTTGACAATGACCAAACACAAAGAAGCAAACATTATGAGATCAGGAGTTCACTTTTATTTTCCGTTTCACAATACTATGTGGGATTCATCAAGACAACCTGTAAACATGGAAAGCACCACTTAATTTGGTATCATGCATCTAATAGTTTAAACAGTATATGTCCCAGCCTCAAGAAGATTTGTCTCATTCTCCATCAAGAAAATTTACACAAGTCTTTGACAGATAATAACCAAAATGTCATATTGGGCAAGTTCTTCCTAGAACCTACTCACTTTTGTCTATAGTAGTCAAAATGAACAGTCAAACAGTAGTTAAGTGATTGATTTGGACAAGATGATATCTGAATTTCACAAAGCATAAGCTCCATGGTGCAGGTTTTCCTTGACATGTACATCGAAATCTGCAATTAAGAAAATATTTGTTTATCTTCTTCAAGTTTGGTAGGAGTATTTAGAAATTCCAACCATAAGGGTTCCACACATCAAAGCACCAACATAAAGCCAACTGTCTAAAAGCTTCTCGACTTTGGGTGTGTTTGATACCAAGGAAAATGTTTTTCATGGAAATAGGAAAATATTTTCATGAAAAATGAGTGGTTTTATCACTTATTTTCCCTTGTTTGGTTGGTGAGTGAAAACTTTTTCCAAAAAATATTTTCTAGTGTTTGATTAGAGAGTATAAAATATTTTTAGGAAAATAATTTTTTATACTACTCTTCTCAACCCACCTTCCCCAAAATCCTCATGTTTCATGTACTTCTCAACCCACTAAAAATAAAATACTTTTTCTACATCATAAAAAAAAAATAATCAGTTTGTTGAAATGAAAGAAAATATTTTCTACATCATGAAAAGAAAGTACTCGTTTTATTAAAATAAAAGAATTTTTTTTTCTACATCAGAAAAAGAAAATACTTAGTTTGTTGAAATTTAAGAAGATATTTTTTCTACATCACGAAAAAAAAGTACTCGTTGGAAAAAAAAATACTTTTTCTATTTCAGGAAAGAAATATTTTGTTGAAATGAATGAAAACACTTTTTTCTATATCATGAAAAGAAAGTACTCATTTTGTTGGGAAAAAATTACTTTTTTTTATTTCAGGAAAAGAAAATACTTAATTTGTTGAAATAAAAGAAAATATTTTTTCTATATCATGAAAAAAAGTACTAGTTTTGTTGAAACGAAAGAAAATACTTTTACTACATCATGAAAAGAATATACTCATTTTGTTAAAAGAGAAAAAAAAATACTTTATTTACAACATGAAAAGAGTATTCTCTTAATAATAGTTCTATTTAGGGTGGGTGGGGGTAGGG